GGTACAGGATTTACTGTACTTTTTTAACAGGATCTACTGTACTTTGTACGGGATTTACTGTACCACAGGAGTGGAGTACGGAATATCCTGTTCCAGGTACAGAAGATACTGTAGCCAGGCACGGTAAATCCTGTGTTCTGAACTACAGTAAATCCCGGCAAAAAAATTAACGGGATTCACTGTGGTTTTTTCGCACAGTGTGGTGTCTGGTGTGCATGGTATGGACGTCTCCATGGTGTCTGGCTACCATGGGGAAAATTCTCCATGGTGTTGGTTTTAATGTGGTGTCCTCGTCCCATGGAGCCGTCACGTGCTGCATGGGACGAGGACACCACAATGGTGAAAGTGTCATGACAGGCGGCAGGCGGGCGTCTCCAGACGCCTGGTGTGCAGGCATCCCCCTACAGCGGCGCCAGAGGGGATGCCTACCTAGCAGGCGGCATCAACATCGACTCCCAACAGATCTCCTTCGTCGCATTCTCAATGCAGAGCGTTTAGCTCCCGGCTGCAGCGACTTGCAGGTAACATACACAAGTGTGATGTAATAGTGTCCTTAGGATAAACTCATAGAGCTAGGGTTAAAATCAAATCCAATAGCTGAAAGACATAAGGGTCATTCCATATAAGATTTACACGGATCTGGGCGACCATTGACGATTTCGACCAAATTTGGCACGAAGGTAGCCCTAGGGGTCAGGAACATGCCCATAAAGTTTTAGGTCGATATCTCAAGTGGTTTGGTCAGAATCGGCATTTTAATTTTTTACTCTTAAAAAAATTGTAATTTCTTCAAAATGGCTCTAAAAGGCCATTTTTTGTCGGATTTTCATGCGGTAAAGCTATTCCGACGTAAAATGCGACGAGAAATCCGAATCTGCCCTCAGATTTGGTCTAGCGTGATTACCAGTGGAGTAAATTGCGAAAAACATGAAAATGAAGCCTTATTTCACGAGCCTGTCTACCCTAGTAGAAAATCCAAATCTGCACTTCCGAACAGGCTAAATTGTAGTTCATTTCATGGGCTTTCCATATCTGTATTCAAAAATAGTGGGTGTGGCCCTCCCTTAGGAGCTGTAGGCCGCAATAAACAACTCTGCACTCAAATTTTGACTAAATAAAATGCACATTTTTGAGCTTTGAAGCTCAGGGGTTTGAGCTACACACGTACCGCTTATACCATTCAAAAGGGAATTTTGAGACGAATCCAACGGTTCCAATATGAGCCTGATCGGGTAAGTGGATCCCAAACTGCGCCCAAATGCCGCTAAAATTCAAAATTTGCACTAGATGTTTTTCCAATTTAGAAAGTAAGTAAACGGCAGCATTTTAACTTGTCAAATGTGTACTCATTTACTCAAAATTTCATAAGCTTTCGATTGGTATATAGAAAAAGTTGGGTTTCGTCCTCTAAACACAAGATTTCTCAATTTTACTGAAGCTATGCACGCGAATCGGCTCAGACGCCCCGTGCAGGTAGGCAGCCCATCCGGCGCGCAGGCTTTCCGTCTGTTTGGGGTTGTTTGGCTGTACCCGCCCCATCCCTCGCCGGACCCCGCCCCACTCGCCCCTCTCCGGACCCCACCCCGCCCAACCCCCTCACCCCCACCCCGCCACCGCACTCCGCACCTTCAACTCTTTTCGGCGTGTAGGCTTCCGCGTCCATCTCCCAGCCGGCAGTCTCTTGGAGTGTCTAGCTTTGTTGTTGCTTGTCGATATTGTTTTCAACAACATAAAAAAATTTCAACTAGCGTACCTCGTCTGGAGACCAGCAGCAGGCAGTACCGTCATGGATCGAGGTATGTGTCTGTTTACACCTCTACTCCTAGGTTATGGTGTCTTTGTTGTTTTGTCTCAGTGATTTTCTTTGCTTTTTTGGGCTTGTTCCATCTCATTGAATTTTAATAAGCTCTCTTTGGTCTTAAGGGGGGACTCTGGTGAAAAAATAGCCAAAATTCCAAAAAATAGTATTTTCAAAGTTCATAGATAAAAATGTGTATAGAAGGTTTCAGATTCAACAGGTTGAACACCTTTAAGCTAAGTGGGTAGTTTCTTTATCATTTCGAAGGAAATAACATTGAGATCAGTTGTCGTTGGCTTCTATGCTCAACTTCACAGCTTTGCTCAGTCGAGAAAAAATTTTGTCGCAGAAAGACTTTCTGCGTTCCTGGTTGACACCTACATGAGTCGTCTTGCATGAACTCTATTCATTGATGACTTGTCGACAAATTTTAGTGACGGAATCTTGATATCAGCCCTACTGTTTTTTAAACACACCTTAAAGCTTGAAAAAGGAGATTCTGTCACTAAAATTTGTCGACAAGTCATCAATGAACAGAGTTCATGCAAGACGACTCATGTAGGTGTCAACCAGAAACGCAGAAAGTCTTTCTACGACAAAATTTTTTGTCGACTGAGCAAAGCTGTGAAGTTGAGCATAGAAGCCAACGACAACTGATCTCAATGTTATTTCCTTCCAAATGATAAAGAAACTACCCACTTAGCTTAAAGGTGTTCAACCTGTTAAATCTGAAACCTTCTATACACATTTTTATCTATGAACTTTGAAAATACTATTTTTTGGAATTTTGGCTATTTTTTCACCAGCGTCCCCCCTTAAGACCAAAGAGAGCTTATTAAAATTCAATGAGATGGAAAGAGCCCAAAAAAGCAAAGAAAATCACTGAGACAAAACAACAACAAAGACACCATAACCTAGGAGTAGAGGTGTAAACAGACACATACCTCGATCCATGACGGTACTGCCTGCTGCTGGTTTGCAGACGAGGTACGCTAGTTGAAATTTTTATATGTTGTTGAAAACAATATCGACAAGCAACAACAAAGCTAGACACTCCAAGAGACTGCCGGCCGGGAGATGGACGCGGAAGCCTAAACGCCGAAGTGAGTTGAAGGTGCGGAGTGCGGTGGCGGGGTGGGGGTGGGGCGGGGTAGGGCGGGGTGGGGTGAGGGGGTTGGGCGGGGTGGGGTCCGGAGAGGGGCGAGTGGGGCGGGGTCCGGCGAGGGATGGGGCGGGTACAGCCAAACAACCCCAAACAGACGGAAAGCCTGCGCGCCGGATGGGCTGCCTACCTGCACGGGGCGTCTGAGCCGATTCGCGTGCATAGCTTCAGTAAAATTGAGAAATCTTGTGTTTAGAGGACGAAACCCAACTTTTTCTATATACCAATCGAAAGCTTATGAAATTTTGAGTAAATGAGTACACATTTGACAAGTTAAAATGCTGCCGTTTACTTACTTTCTAAATTGGAAAAACATCTAGTGCAAATTTTGAATTTTAGCGGCATTTGGGCGCAGTTTGGGATCCACTTACCCGATCAGGCTCATATTGGTACCGTTGGATTCGTCTCAAAATTCCCTTTAGAATGGTATAAGCGGCACGAGTGTAGCTCAAACCCCTGAGCTTCAAAGCTCAGAAATGTGCATTTTATTTAGTCAAAATTTGAGTGCAGAGTTGTTTATTGCGGCCTACAGCTCCTAAGGGAGGGCCACACCCACTATTTTTGAATACAGATATGGAAAGCCCATGAAATGAACTACAATTTAGCCTGTTCGGAAGTGCAGATTTGGATTTTCTACTAGGGTAGACAGGCTCGTGAAATAAGGCTTCATTTTCATGTTTTTCGCAATTTACTCCACTGGTAATCACGCAAGACCAAATCTGAGGGCAGATTCGGATTCCTCGTCGCATTTTACGTCGGAATAGCTTTACCGCATGAAAATCCGACAAAAAATGGCCTTTTAGAGCCATTTTGAAGAAATTACAATTTTTTTAAGAGTAAAAAATTAAAATGCCGATTCTGACCAAACCACTTGAGATATCGACCGAAAACTTTATGGGCATGTTCCTGACCCCTAGGGCTACCTTCGTGCCAAATTTGGTCGAAATCGTCAATGGTCGCCCAGATCCGTGTAAATCTTATATGGAATGACCCATAAGTTCTATAATTCAAACAAGCAAGGGCCCGCCCTTCCGTCGAACCGAGTTGCCAGCTCCGCTTCGCTGCGCCGGCAACTCGGTTCGACAGGGGGCCGGCCCAGCTTGGCCTGCCGGCGGCCTTTCCTCGGGCCTTCGGCCCTCGCATCAGACCCAACTTGGCCAGTCGAAGGGCCGGGCCTTCGGCCCGCTCGCATCACACACACCGTGAGCGGGTAAAGCAAAGTTATCGATGTACCATCGTGACTTAGGCCCGCCCTTCTATTCACAATATGCAATAGTCCTTACACTTTTTACTCCAACTGTCCTTAGAATATGCCCATTTCATTTGTCTCTTCGCCCTCATTCCGAAAATACCCATATTTGCCATGCTACTGCAACTCCTGGCAATAGAGGCACAGCAGGAGCGCAAAACGAGTCCGTCGCACTTTTTCCCATAACTCATGAACGCGGGCTCCTGGACCCTCCTTCCGACCCCTCGTTGAAGAGGTCTTGCCAAGACCTATCGAAAACTTAAGTAAAAATTTTCAGTCGGTCGACCCCCTTTTTTGAAGATCCTGATGTGACTAATAGACGAAGTCGGGCTCCTGGACCCCCTTTCCGACCCCTCGTTGAAAAGGTCTTGCTGAGACCAATCGAAATCTGCAATAAATTTTTTTAGTCGGTCGACCCCCTTTTTTGAAGATCCTGATCTGGCCAACTTGTAAAAGCGGCCGATGGGGTTGGGACCAGGTCCATTCATCTTGTCTCGTCGCCCCGATTCCAAAAATACCCCTATGTGCCCTGCTAGCACCAATAATGGCGGAAATCCCCCTCCCGCTCATGTAAACCATGATGCACCTGCAGCAGCCCTTGTGCGACCCGGACGGGATTTGCACCACCGGATTATTTGTTTGGACGGTACTCCTGAAGTACCCTCAAAATCTGGTTACTCTAGCTCAACTCCTTCCTTGTACACAGACGCCAACAACAACAACAACAACACACAGACACAAAGGCAAATGCATAGGCCCTCCCCCTATTTTTTGAATAGAAGGGCGGGCCAAAAAAGGCAAATGGCCTTTAATTTTTAAAAATTCTGATTCCAATTCCAATATCAATTCCGGGAACAAAGCATAGCCGCAGTCAGAAGTAAAAGTGGGGTAGAAATTCAATCCTTTGGTTTCTGAAAACAAGACAAAAATTAGACAGTTGAAACTTGAATGGAACAACGGTAGCCCTGAATCAAACAAAAACTCACAAGAGCAGAGGCAGCTTCCTTCAACTTGTACTTAAAAGTATCTTTCCCCTTCTTGGAGACTGCCAAGTCCAAGAAGAATGGATCTTCACTTCCAGAGGCAGCGACTGTCTTGGCTCTGTAGACTCCTGAATTAAAATTTAAAATTTCAATTAAAACAAAGTCACATACAGTTGGAAGAGTGAGTGATCCAAGGAGAATTATTGTACCTAGCACTGCTTCAGTTTTCTGGGGTGTCATCTTCTTTTTTTTAATTTTTTGGCCAGACGAGTATGGCTTCACAGGGGTGGCACCCTCAAGAGACCGTTCTGCCATTTCAGTAGGGGTGTAAATTTTGCTCATCACATCTCTCACTGCGATAGAAGGAGACACATTGGCCTTACGGATTTTGTCGTCCCAGGTCTTTTCTGAAATCCAGACTCCGTTTCCAATGTGGACCTGACCACGAAAAAATTAAGTTATAAATAAAAGTTTATGACAAAAATTAGGTTATCATTGATTACGAAATGTGTACTAACCTTCCCGTTCCCATCATGCTGCAGGGGGGCCTTGCCTTGAAGGGCTAGAAGAATCATTTTGTATAATTCACTGTTTGGAGTCACTCCATCTGTCAGAGAAAAAGTAATGATAGTATTAGAGAAATCTTCGGAAAGCCAAAAGGAGGGGCGGGAGAGGAAATTCAGTAAATTTTTAGCTGATGTAAAATAGGGAAGCCACGCATTAGATGACATCACATGTTTCCTAATTAACTCTTCCATCCACTTGATTGCTACCAATTAGTAGGTGCATCAAAAACTATACTAGTTTCTTTAGCTTATCTGGCTGTCAACTCTAAATAGTCTTTTAAATTAGTGTTTCTAAATAACGTTTTTCATGACATGAGTGGAGGTACATCAAGTGTGCCTAGTCATTTGAATAAAACAGCATTTGGAGAGGCAAATAAGAAAACATATTTGTTTATTGGTGCACAGTTTTGCAGAGCAGGTGCGTTCCCACCAAATGAGCATTCAAAAGAAGAAAAATTGTGAAGTTGGGAACGCAATTGTTGAGCATACAGCTGCACCAATAATCAAATATTTTTACGTTCTTGACCTCTTGAAAGGCTGTTCAAGTAAAATGACTTCACACATTTGATGCATTTTCAACCATTCCAAAAGTAATATTTACCCAAGTCCATTGAGCACAATAGCAAAACACTATCAAAATACCTTCATACTTGGGAGACTTTGCTGCCTTTTTTTCCTTCTTTGCAGTTTTGGTAACGCTATCTGGTGTCTTAGGACTAGAGACTATGCCATCCACGCCATGTACACTACAATCCACGCCATGTACACTAAGTCCGTGGCCCCACCGTATCTCGGCCATTTCGTGTCGCAGACTCAGGCTGCGACTACTCGTTGAAAAGGTCTTGTCATTTTGAACTTGAATCAACCATTAAAAAAATTTTCTTGGACGACCCCCTTTTTCCCAGTATATCGATCAAAAAACTGTATACTGGGAAAAGGCGGGTCGTCCAAGAAATTTTTTATGGTTGATTCGAATTCAAAATGACAAGACCTTTTCAACGAGTGGTCGCAACCTGTGTCTGCGACACAAAATGGCCGAGACACGGTGGGGCCACGCGTGTGGCCCCGCGGGGCAAAGGACTCGTACTTCATGGCGTGGAGGACGTTGGCCTGGTCCGCACGAATCGTTTGAGCCCACTCCGTGCGAAATCGGAGCAGAAATGGCCGAGATACGGTGGGGCCACAGGTGAACTTTCCTACGGGGCGGTGGCGTGGCGGGGCGAGACGAAGTTGCATGTTTGACGTCGATTTGAAGGAAAACGGCATCGAACGGCATCGCCGGACGAAATGGACATGAAAGTGGGCTTACCATACTATCTCTGTCCGGTGCTCGACCGGTTCGCAAATGTTCGCAACTCGACTTATCCCTCGTCAAAAAAGTCGCAGACGACGATTTTCGCAAACATTTGAAGACCCGCAGTTTCCACACTTTTCCTTTGAAACCAATTCCAATGAATGGACTGGACTGCTTGATTTTTTGCCTTTCCAAAAACATATGAAACATGTTTATTTGCTCTGCAACAGCGATAGGAGTAGCCTTTCTTACGCAGCCCCCGCCAAATGTATCATTTTCTCGTGAAATTGCGCTACTTTGACATCGCTAAACGGCAAGTAGTAGTTATTTGAGGTGCCAAAAATGTTCGTAACTGTATAGAATGGTCCTTTCTGAATTCTAAAACGTCGGTCTCATCCCTCTGGGACAAAAATGGCGAAATCGGACTTACGTGCGACTTTTTCCGGTTTCGCCCCACTGTGCGTCGTCGCAGTCAACGTGTTAATGTTTTGTCAAGTCTCATATCATTTCATAGGTTTTGAGGCTGCCTGATGACGAAAATAGAACCCGTTCGGACCCCCGACCGTAAAATCCCATTGGTGTAGATTTTGATGACCAAATGCCATTTATGAAGGGATCACGGCCATTTCCGCGGCCTGCCTAGGAAAGCAGCCTGCCGAAGGCAGGTTAGCGCCGCAGGCAGGTTAGCGCCGCAGGCCAAGGGAGGTGGATACGCCAGGCGCGGATTGTCGAAACTGGCGCAGCATCGCGAAGCCTGTTACAAGACACGGTCTGGCGTACACCTATCTTGTAAAGTTATGTTAAATGCAGTATTAACACCATTTCGCAGCGGTCGGCCCGTGCGGGGAGCATTGTTTCACGCGCCACCCAAGCCGCTGCATCGCTACCCCCTGATGCCTTTCGCTTGGAGTTGCAGTGACGGCCGGCGACTGCGGGGAGTCGGATCTCTTCAAGTGCAAGGACGGCAGTGGTTTCATCAGTAGTGGCTGTGTTCCTGGGATGTGGAGGTGCAACGGCGAAAAGGACTGCGGCGACGGCTCCGACGAGGAAGGCTGCGATGGTGAGTGCGCCACCAACCTTGCGGCCACAGAGATGCCGAATGCTCGGGAGCACACTGAAAACTAAAGTGTTTATACAGTCTGCCTAACGTAACCTAAATTTGATTTATGTTACATTGAACCCGGTGGTGCAAGCACAATACCAAGCAGTCTTTTTGGCTCGTCCCGTTTATTTTTTGTAAAAAAAATGACGGAGGGACGGTAGGGTGGCCCAAAAAAAGTCGAATGTGGTTGTCCAATTCCGCTCAAAAATCGATTCTTGACCGAAAAAAAAATAACCCCTATTTTTTGCGTTTTGTCCTGAGACGATTTTGAATACCGGCTCAACAGCGAAAATGGTTTTTGACCCGTTTTAAGCACCAAAATTGTCTTAACAATTATAGTTTTTATCCGATTTTCAAAAACGATACAGCAAAATGTTCGGTTTTAGACGGCGAACAAATTACATTTTCACCGATTTGTTGTCAGACTTCGTCTTCAGTATTCTGCTTGCGATTTTCGCTCCAAAAAAAAATATTGTTCACTATTTGGAGATAGTTTTCTTGTTTCGGACGGCCTACATGCGTCCCTATCCACGGTTTTACCCTACCCTATCCCAAAACAAACCGACCACGTGAAATATAGCAGTGCATATCAATAGGGTACTTTCGTAAAATCCTGAACCGGAAGCAAGCAGACCAGCAGACGCCAAATTTGCCGGAAACTAACCTCTCTTCGGATCCAAAACTATAGCCGAGCTGTACAAAAATTGCTCGCCAAACACATATGCACTGCAAACAAGTATCCAACAACTGTTTATGTTCAATAGGGTGGGTCGAAAATCCCAGAAGTAGGCAGCGTATGGTTTTGTTTGCAGTTGACCATATTAGAAAAGAGATCCCACAATGCTGGGGTCTGGTGACGTCACCTTCCATCTCTTTGGAGGCTCCAAACTTGGGTCTAATAGTGAAAAATGGCACTTTTGGCCCTACAGGGACCAAACCAGGCATCGCCCAGGATGCGGCTATCTCGCGATGGGTGCGGAATATGTTCCTTTATATTCCTGCAAAGTCAGGGCGATGTGGCTCAACATCTTGGTTAAGCCCGGGCACTTGTTTTAACGCTAAAACAAAGTTGCAAAACACTAAAAATTGGACTTAAGGGTCTATTTTTTGCTCAAAGGTCCCATATACTTATATAAATGGAAAGGGCTCAAAAAATACAATTTTTTGGTATATATAACTTTGTGATGGGACGAAAGTTGTTGCCAGGGAGAAACTTTACACATTTCAGCAAAAGCTCAAAAACACTAAAAAGTGATCTTTAGGAGAATATGTATTGCCTGTGAATCCAATATGATCATACAGTCCGAAAGATCTAAAAAAATGCAAAATTTTGGTATATAAAGTTTTGTGTTTGGACCAAAACTCGAATTGTTGCAATGTAATTCATTAGCAAAGCGAAGCAAAGCCCTTGTTAGGCAAGAGATGGCCCGACGAACGTTTACACTTTCTTCTATAATTAACAACAAATCAAGTTTTTGTCCAATCACAAAACTTAATATACCAAAATTTTGCATTTTTTTTTATCTTTCGAACTGTATGATCATATTGGATTCACAGGCAATACATATTCTCCTAAAGATCACTTTTTAGTAATTTTGAGCTTTGGCTGAAATGTGTAAAGTTTCGCCCTGGCAACAATTTTCATCACATTACAAAGTTATATATACCAAAAAATTGCATTTTTTGAGCCCTTTCCATTTATATAAGTATATGGGACCTTTGAGCAAACAATAGACCCTTAAGTCCAATTTTTAGTGTTTTGCAACTTTGTTTTAGCGTTAAAACAAGTGCCCGGGCTTAACCAAGATGTTGAGCCACATCGCCCAGACTTTGCAGGAATATAAAGGAACATATTCCGCACCCATCGCGAGATAGCCGCATCCTGGGCGATGCCTGGTTTGGTCCCTGTAGGGCCAAAAGTGCCATTTTTCACTATTAGACCCAAGTTTGGAGCCTCCAAAGAGATGGAAGGTGACGTCACCAGACCCCAGCATTGTGGGATCTCTTTTCTAATATGGTCAACTGCAAACAAAACCATACGCTGCTTAATTCTGGGATTTTCGACCCACCCTAATGTTCAAGTGTGGCCGCTACGTTTGATGAACGTCTCTTTCCCATGTCAAGTTTGGATCAACTTCCGCCAACATGGCGTCTGTGTGCTTCCGGTTCAGGGATCTACGAAAATACCCTATTTGCCTACCATCTAGGGGCCAGCATTTCGTTGTTTTCAGTATAAAGAAAAGTCTGTAGAGCTCTGAGGCCGCAATTTTCCTCCGATTATCAAACCCGAGATGCTATTTTGTTCAGTTTTTTTAAGACGAACAAAAAACATTTTGAAGATATTTTTGTCAGACTGCGTTTTAAGGTTCGTTTCTGCTTGAAACGTGCAAAAATCTCCCAAATTCGAATTTTTTGCCCACTTTTGGACCGTTTCTCGTCAGCGATCCACGTGACCAGCCGATGATCACTCTTTCACCTTCCCTAGCCTTTTTGGCATGGCTGAAATAAGAAGAGCAAGGTCCTAAACACGAATGAACAGGTCCAGGCATGATTTGGCGGGTCGTTTAGAATTTTTCTTTAAAAAAAAAAGGATAAATAAGGCTAGCCCGGACGGTTTTGGGCTCGTGTGAATAGTTCAGCAAAAGTGGGAGTGTTGCAACCGATTTTGTCTAGTTCTGACCGGTGTGGAGAAGTTGTGACAGGTTTGGACAAAAAAAAAACGGTCCAAAAGTAGGCAAGAAATTTGAATTTGGGCGATTTTTGCACGTTACAAGCATAAAACCCGCCAAATCATGCCTGGACCTGTTCGTTCGTGTCTAGGACCTGGCTCTTCTTAATTCCAGTCATTCCAGAAAGCCTAGAGAAGGTGAAAGAGTGATCAACGGCTGGTCACGTGGATCGCTGACGGGGAAAACGATCCAAAAGTGGGCAAAAAATTCGAATTTGGGCGAGTTTTGCACGTTTCAAGCAGAGACGGACCTTAAAACGCAGTCTGACAAAAATATCTTCAAAATGTTTTTTGTTCGTCTAAATAAACTGAACAAAATGAAATCTCGAGTTTGAGAATCGAAGGAAAATTGCGGCCTCAGAGCTCAACAGACTTTTCTCTATACTGAAAACAACGAAATGCTTGCCCCTAGATGGTAAGCAAATTGATTTGCACGGCTTTTTTTCACGTGGTCGGTTTGTTTCGGGATAGGGTAAGGTAAAAACGTGTATAGGGACGCATGTAGGCCGTCCGAAACAAGAAAATTATCTCCAAATAGTGAACAATATGTGTTTTTTGGAGCGAAAATTGCAAGCCGAATAATGAAGACGAAGTCTGACAAAAAATTAGTGAAAATGTAATTTGTTCGCCGTCAAAAACCGAACATTTTGCCGTATCGTTTCTGAAAATTGGATA